ACTTCAAGCACCTGCACTTGCTAACAACCCCTTGCCCCCTTAACAAGTCAACCTCCAAATCTGCCTCACAGGTGCAACCTCGACCTCTACAATCCGTACAATCTCACAATCCATGCAGAATCCAACTTGCAGGGACCGAGAGGCGACCAAGGTATGGTGACAAAGACTACCTCAAACGGCTGAGGAACACATTCGTTCTCTATTGTCAATACACTTGCCATCTGTCGTCAGATCATTTCCCTAATTGTTGTAGATAATAATGTATTTATACAATATTTCAATATAATTATAAACTGTTATTTCAATAACAAATGGATATAAGGAAAATTTTATCTTATACATCTTATATTTATATGTTTTCCTTGTTAAAATAACAAGTATTATAATACTTAGCCATTTTGCAAGGTACACTTTAAGCACTTGTATATCTTAGTAAGTACTACAATTCTTATTATTCTTGACCAGAAAGTCAAGACTTTTTAATAGCTTTCTTAGCTTCTTATTACCTTCCTAAAACCCCTAGGTACACAATAAGCTCTTATACATAATGTAGAAAATATATATAATTTATATACATATAAGCTAATACAAAGTTTGAGATATTTTCCTGATGTTAACATAGCTCCTGTTACTCCTGTGCAACACTACCAAATGACTACTAACTTACCAACCCCATTTGCACACCTTATTAAACACCCTTCAGAACTCAACACACAGATGCTGACAACTACAGACATAAAACTCCTAATTTGGCAGTATCCGAATCATGCTGACATTATTGAAAAGACAAACCAATTTTGTCTTAAAACACAGATACTCTTCTTGCCCACTACAGGCCACACTTATCATGATCTCATTGTAATCATTCACATGCTAACCTTCTTTCATCACACATATACTACAGACAATTTCTCTTGTTGCCAAGTTATCCTATCTGCAACCAGCATGCTCCTCATGATTGAGCAACATGCAAGTTGCACGTTTCCACATCTTGTCGACCAAATATTTAATCTCCACAGTGAATTCCTGCTTCCTATTCAACTCAATTCTTTGCACCAAAAACCCTTCCTTTCCCTCTGCCCATCAACAGAGACACTTCCTGCACCACACGTCATAAATCATGACTACTCAGAGCACTCCACAATCCATAAAATGATCAAACAGAACCTACACTGCAGTTGGGTCGCCTCCCAAAAGGGAAACCCCATTCTGGTCTCTCTGTTTACGAAGGTGAGCAAAAAGGACCCAATTACAAAAAAAGTTCATACTCACATAATCCCACCCTTCCCAATGTCCCATTCGTCACTAACCCGCGCAGCCCAAACCGTGTTTTACTAAACGCGGACCAATGTCGCCTACACTGGTCTCTTTCGTTCCAGAATAAGCCGGATTGGCGACGGGAAATGTCCCACCTGCAACGAACCCGATACAATCCTACATCGCAGAACGATATGCCCCCTCTTCAGCAACTTCCACAGTGACGAAAGACTAACCCGAAGGGTGATTTTAAACAAGGACTTTCCGCATGTCTGGCAGACCATCAGAATGATGTTCGACTCATACGAACCGCCGTGAATATTTTCGGCATCCCATTTTTTTGTACCCTCGAATCACGCTCAGTAGATAACTTAAAACACAACTCCCAGCAGCATAGTTTCCCTACTTCCATGGAACGTTTTCCTCACTGAGGGTTTTTTTCCTGGAAAAGGGTTTTAGTCTAGCTGTGCTCCGCCATGTATACTTGTTTTGTGACTGTTTTCTTTTCTTTGTGTTACCTCTAAATGGAATACCTTTATATGTGCGTTTACAGCGTTCACATCAGTTCACTGAGTTCAGATTGGGTACCGGGCGGCAGGAAACAGCAACCTGCATATTTGTGTGTGCCTCTCCTTGCCTTAAGTCCTGTCAGCCATCATACAATTGGCTCTGGCAAGCCTGTCGCTGTTCGTCTGATTCGGAAGGCAAAACTGATGCAAGTACCAAAACAATTTCCAAGATTACACGTCATATTTTTTTAAAAAAAAGGAGACACAAAGAAGCAATCTATGCACACTCTCACACTCTCTCACACCTTGTATGCGTGCCTATCTTTGCTTCTCCAACCCGACCAACGACCTGACCTCGTCCTATTCACCACTGCCACTTGCACAGGAGTAGTAACCGGAACCTGCATACAACTCGCGATCTGCAATTTACCCCTCAGACTCGCAAGGTGAAAAACAAATTCTGACCTTACCTTATGGAAAGTGTTCTGGGTCGCGTGCGATATAAAATACAAGACGCAGCTTATTAATGTCTAAGCTGTCTTGTACGATTTGACCATAGTGCGTAAGAAGGGGCACGGTATCATTAGCTTCAAACAAAATCGTGAGAATAAGATATAAATTGGAAGTACGAATGATAATACTCACGGTTCATTTCGAGCAATTCTTGAATTGTTTTCGGGAATGCAGTTCCACAAGGATCCTTTCCTGGTGGATCTGGAAGTCTGCGCAAGTCGGGGCATTGTTCTAAGCCAATTTCGTGCAGATAAAGTATATGAGAGTTATAGGTGCGTGCTTCGAGGAGAGAAGCCCTTTAAAAATGATTGAGAAACATAGCAGAATGACATCACGAAAAAGTCGCAACAAATGTATTTAATAATAGCAAAAGTAAACTAATTAAATTATTTCATAAGCATTACATTCTAAAATAATACTTATATTTTACTTGTAATGTAATTATAATGCTTGTATATAAATGTAAGAAATATACAAAGTTTCTATTAAACTACAAACATGTTTTAGAGCAAGTAAGCTTACTAATAGTATTATTACAACATTACATGTGAGGTACAAGTACTCAACTCTTATTATAATCTGTTAAAATTATATTATAAGATATCTACAATAATAGTTGATAGATTATAATAGTTATAAAAATATTGTATTGTGCTTGTAAGTTGATTATAATACTTTTAGTAAGATAATATGCAATTATATATATTAATATTGTTAACAATCACCCTGTTAGACTTATAATATAATTTAGTTTTACTTTTAAACTGTATATCGAAGTGCTTACATAATTGAGTACCGAAGATCGAGAGCATATAATGACGCACTTGCTCTCGTCACTCCTTTCCCTCCTACCTCCACCATCT